AGCTAGTGGAATCAATGGCATGCTGGCCTATGCTGAACACCACCTGTTAAGGTGGAAGATTTGGAAATAGGCAAACGACACATCTTGTGCTTGTGAAATGCATGAAATCACAAGTGATGTCTCACCAGCTGGGCAAGACAGCCATGGCATTGTCCAAGTCACCACCTCCATCACCTGGCTGAGTGCTGGTGATGTAGGAAGTGATAAGCCCCCCTGCTTCCTTCTTCCAGGTAGCTTGGGTGGAGAGTTGGCGCTGGGATGGGGAGAAGCTTCTGCTGTGGATCGGGCTGGGCTGAGTGTGGTAGAGCAGTACAGTGGTGTGGCTGGGCTAAGAATGGGCAGGGCTGGGGGTGTGTGCAGGGAGCATTGGTCACAGCCTGGGTGCTCTAGGCAAGGGGGTCCCTAGGCAACAATTGGCTGGCTTGGTTGCCCATCTGAAGAAAATACCCTGTTGCTGGCAGTGGATGTAGGTTCCCCAGGATGAGTCTCACTCTGCCCCCCAGCTGGTGTCCAAACAAGGCTTCCTGTCATGGGCCGGTGCTTGAGACCTGGGTCTCTGCCATGGTGTTGAAAAGACTCCAGTTTCACCACGCTGGTGGTGAAATCATCTTGAACAATGTGGTGGGGGTGGAAGTTGGGGAGCCTCTCTAGGAGCCAGCAGTGGAGCCCTTTCCTAGTGTTGATGGGCTCATAATTCAGTGGGCTACCAACCATATCCATCTCTGTCCTGAGTCTGACAGAACTTTAATGTATTCTCCAGTCTCCTGGGTCTTTCCTGCTCATGCTGTTCCCTGGGACTGTCTCCACATCACATTATAAGCTAATGCTGCCTCTCCCTTCTAACATGCTTGTTGCAAGGGCTTGCTCATAACAGAGTGCAGGACCACTTTCAAAACCATCTGACCTGTATCTTGCTGCACAGAGAACATCCCATTCTGGGACCTGAGCACATCCTGAAATATTGAACAGGGAAGGCTGTTTCACATGGCTGAGGCATGTGCAGGCCTAGCAGTGGTGACATGGCTACTGCCTGTGTGCAAAATGGGCTGGTCTCTTCTGAAAATGCACAGCAGATGCTCCCCAGCCTTCCCATTAGTGCTTCTTACTCATCAGTTACATGCTGGCTGTGGCCGAGCCGCTGGGTCCCTGGTTTCTTAGCAGCTCTGACCAGCAGTTGTATTGCATGAGAACCAGTCGCCTCTCCAGTGAGGCTGCAGGATTGACTTGCACAGCTTGATGGTGGCTGCTTTTGATAGTGTCTCTCAAAGGAGCAGGTAGTCCAGCTGCAGGAGATGGCCATCACTCTCAAATGCTACTCCTGCCACTCACTACCCAAGGACTCGCCTCAGCAAGGGTCCAGCCTGCCAAGACCAGGTACAGCTTAAAGATAGGTAGAAGGAACCTAGCAGGCTGAGACCATAACTACAGCAAAGTGGATTCTGCAGGTGGTCAGGAATGAAAGTGGGTTGGGGAGGCAGGACAGGACTAGACACTAAGCAATTTTCAATCACTTGCAGGACTGGAATGGTCTGCTGGACTTTGATGGTTGCAGGGAGTAACTGGCTGTGTCCTCAGTGAGTTAAATGATTAAAGTACAAAAGAATACTCTTTCTTCATAGATTCTAGGACTGGAAGGGACTTCGAGAGGTCATCGAGTCCAGTCCCCTGCCCTCATGGTAGGACCAAATACTGTCTAGACCATCCCTGATAGACCTTTATCTAACCTACTCTTAAATATCTTCAGAGATGGAGATTCCACAACCTCCTTAGGCTTATGCTTATGCTGAGGCTAAGGCACAAAATGACTTACCTAGCAAGGGGGACACAAGGCAATAAGAGTGTTTAAGTATATTTGAACAAGAGACAAAGGGAAGTGTAGGCCCTCTACTTATCAGGGAAGGAGAGTTAAAAAGTTGATATCAAGAAAGCTGAAGTGCTTAATGCCCATTTTGCCTTTCTTCACTAGAAAGTAGTTACTCAACACAATATTGACAACCAGGGAAGGAATGCAAGCTAAAAATAGGGAAAACAGGTTACAGAATATTTATACAGATGTGATCTAGTCAGTAGGGCCTGATGAAATTCATCGTAGGGTACTTAAGCAACTAGCTTCAGCAATCTTAAAGCTGTTAGGAATTCTCAAAAGATAATTGCTGGAGGACGAGAGAGGTCCCAGAAGACTGGAGAAAGGTACTATGTTTGCTCATCTCTAAAAGGGTGCACAAGGAGGACCCAGGGAATTATAGATGAGTCAGCAGCTTAACTTCAATAAACTTGCTCCAGTATCTTTCCAGGTATTGAACAAGACACTTGTAAGCAGCTGGAGGGTAATAGAGTTTATAAGGAATAGCTAGCAAGGATTTGTCAACAAATCATGCCAAACCAACTTAATTTCCTCCTTTTGATAGGATTACTGATCTAGTGGATGGAGGGAAGCAGCAGATATGACAAACCTTGGGGTTTTTATAGTGAGGCTTTTAACAGTTTTGCATGACATTCTCATAAGCAAACTAGGGAAATGTGATCTAGATGAATTTACTATAAAGTGGGTGCACAACTGGATGAAAGACTACTCCAAAATTACCAATGCCTTGCTGTCACATTGGAAGGGTGTATCTAGTGGGGTCCCACAGTGGTCAGTCCTGGGTTCAGCGCTGGCCAATCTTCATTAATGACTTGAATCATAGAGTGGGGAGTAAGTCTATGATCCTTGCTGATGGAAGGGGTTGCAAGCACTTTGGAGAACTTTAAACTTGTCCTCTAATTTGTCATGGTCCTTTTGAGTTGGTCTAAAATCAACAAGATGAAAGTCCTAAAGACAGTACAAAGTACTTCACTCAAGAAGGAAAAATCAAATAACTGGCTGGGGGGCGGGGGTAGCAGTACTGAGAAGGAGCTGGGGATTAGTGGACCATAAACTGATTTGTCAATGTGATGCAGCTGCAAAAAAGCTAATGTTCTAGTGTGTATTAAGTGGACTCTTTTGTATACAAGACACAGGAGGTAATTGTCCTGCTCTACTTGACACTAGTGAGGCCCCAGGTGGAGTACTGTCCAATTCTGGGCACCACACTCTAGGAAGGATGTTGACAAATTGGAGAGAGTCCAGAAGAGCAACAAAAATGATAAAAGGTTTAGAAAACTAGACCTCTGAGGAAAGATGGGGGGGGGGGGGGGGAGAGAACTCTCCATGTTTAGTCTGGAGAAAAGACTGACGTGCAACCTGATAAGTCTTCTAATACTTCAAGGGCTGTTATAAAGAGAAGGGTGATCAATTGTCCTCCCTTCGCTGGACATGGAGAACAAGTAACAGGCTTAATCTGCAGCAAAAGGAGGTTAAGCTCTGGAGCAGGCTTCCAAGGAGTAGGTTGTAGAGTCCCCATCATTGGAAGCTCTTAAAAACAAGCTGGACAAACACCTGCCAGAGATAGTTTAGGCCCTGGCACAATAGAGGGCGGGGACTTGATGACTTCTTGAGGTCCCTTACAGCACTACATTTCTAAGGTTCTGTCTCCAAGATGCTGGACAGAAGACCAAGGTCCAGAACTTTGGTGCAGGTGGGGTTGAGCACCATGGAGAGTGCTGACAAGTTCATCAACCAAGGCTGCAAGCAGAGTGGAAACTGTAGCAAACAATGTCCTTTGACAGCCAGGTCTTACTGCTCCTGCATGACATCCATGTCATGCCTATGGATGCAGAAAACCTCTATGCACTGTGACAAACTTCAGGAGCTAGCAGATCTATGTACTGCCTGCATCACTACATGGGTCAGGAGACTGGACCCTCTTACAGGCAGATCTGCCTCTGTTAGAGGTATTCCATATGCACTGCATACCAAATTCTGAGCATAAAGTGTGCAAGAGTCAGTCAGTCAAGCCAATCTTGCTGAGATCTGGGCTTCCTCCAATTGCTTACCACATTCAGAAGGGGCATTGTGTGTTCTTTGGGTATGTCACCAGGAGGGACACAGACCTCAGCATGCAGTGCTCTAAGCTGTCCATTGAGGCATGAAGGGGTGCATGCCCTGAGCCTGCCTGGTATTGTCCTCTGGGCAGGATTGAGCCAGAGATGGGAATGTCACTCTGATGCCATCAACTCACTCCAGCAGCCATCAGTGGACTATGTGCATGTGGTGTGACCCTGTCACCACTGGGGCTTTCAATGAACATTCTCCATTGGTCTTGCTGTCATTTTGACTTTGAAGTCTGTACCCAGAGGCCTAGTTCTGGGCCCCCTTACTCTGAGAAACCTACTGAACTCCCCGCTAGACCCTTCCTGCACTGGTAATAGGGATGGAGCGGGTCTAACTTCTGTGACCCAGCAGGATGTTCTGGGACTGTGTAATCGTACCAAGAAGACAGGCTGTTCACCTAGGCAAAGATGGCCTCTTGGCTTGTGGAAAGCTGCAGTATTTCAATCCCATTGTGTGCTCACTGTGCACCTGGCAAGATCTTTGAGGCAAAGCAACCTATCTCAAAATAATTCCCAGTCAGGAGACTCTAATCCATGCTCATGCATTTCTGAGCAATGTCTCAGGCCCTGCTTGTGTGTCCAGGTCATGCTGAGGGGCAGGGTCTGGGCTAGTAGAGCCATAAAGGAGCACATGCAGCTCTGTTTTGGGTGTGAACAGTGATTGTACGTGGTTCTGTAACTTGCACCCCATGAGATGCTGGCTCAATGAACAGCTCTGGGCCCACCCCATCATGAAGGAGGCGCTACAGTGCCTCTGAAGGTGAGCCAGCAGTTTGAATGACCTCTCTAGCTAGACACCCCTTCCCACCGCTCCCCCCAAATCTAGGAAGCTTGAGTTCTAGAGCTAGAACAGCATTTCCCCCCGCCCCCCATGAACATGCTGCCATAGGCATGACACTCCCCTCTCGCCAGGGAAAGGCCTGGAGTGCAAAGGGTGATGTGTTGAGGCCATGTCTCTGAAATGCATATGCTACCTAGCACTCCAGCCTCTGCCTGCCTGGCACTCAGTGTGGGCCCATCTCTTCTAGGTACGGACGCTCTTTGTCAGTGGCCTTCCTGTGGACATCAAACCCAGAGAGCTCTACCTGCTCTTCCGACCGTTCAAGGTGAGTGGTGCAAAACCAACCTAAAGTGGGCTGCCCTGCTAGCAACATGCCGGTTGGTCCTCCAGCCAGCCTGCCTTGGTCAGCACAGGCTGCCTTCTGCGTGAGGGAGTGTTTCTTTTGGGGGGGGGAGATGTTACTGGGTCTGAAAGTCTAATGGGAAGAGTGAAGGGACCTGGGCTGCTGCTCAGTGGGGGTCAGGGAGGAGCCCTTCAGGGTAACCTGGTAGATGCTCACTCACAATAGTGAGGCATCTAATGCTGGTGGCAGTTGAGTAACAGAAGCCTCAGCTGGCTATCCCTTCTGTCCCAGGCACTGCAGGCCATCAATCCCTTGCTGTCCTGAGCCGAGGGTCGATGGGAGCTTGGAGCTCACCACATCCCTCTGATAACCCAGAAGGTGCCCCTTGGGGCGCACTGGTGGTTTCCCCCCTTCACAGGAGCTCATACCAATGTACTAAAAGCCACTGCAGGTACTGCTCGCTCCCTACTGCACCAGAGAACCCTAGGGAGCGGGACGTCCCATGTTGTTCTAGCTGCTGTTTGCTGCTCTAAGGGGAGGTGAAGAGCTCCCCCTGTTCCTAATGTACAGAGAGGTGGAATGTCTGACCCAGGTGAGTCAGATTCCCTGTGACAGCTGAACTTTTGCTTGGTCATCACCGAGGGGCTGGGGAGTAGCTAAGCTGGGTAGAGCTGCTGAACAGCTACCAAGGCAACTTCCCCCTCCAGTGTACCTAGAGAACAGACCTGTTCAGGGGAGGAGGGGGCTGTACAACCCCCCCCCCCCCCCCCATGGTACAGACAACTCCTCCTCTTTCCAAATGCTGCCAGTCCTATCTGGATGAGAACATACTGTGCCTTGGGCTAGCCCTTGCCCTAGGCTATAGGGGTTGGGGGCACTTGTGTAGAGACATCCAGGCTTGCATGGGGTGCTGCCTCTAGTGTTAATGACCATGTGCACAGCACTGCACAAACCTGATCACTGGTGGCACAACAAACCATCTTCCCTGGGTAAACCTGGATGTGTGTAACTGGTCCGGGAAGCTATAAACCCAGACTATGGGCTGAAACTAAACTGATGCTGGTGCCCTGGTCTGCAGTCCGTATAGCTGAGGCCAGTGGGTTTTCAGCCTGTGGACCCCTGGGGTCCACACCTCCAGTCAAAATTTTTTAGGACTCTGCAAAAGAAAGGTTGAAAACCACAGGTCTAGGCAGTGCTGCTGCTCTGGATGCATGGGGACCAGAAACAATAGCTAACTGGGACCAGATACAGGATACCCACTCCAGTATTCCTCCTGTTCAGTAACCTCTTCATCGGCCAGCAATAGCATCCACTGGGGTTAATGTGCCCCCTGGCATCTAGCTTCCTGAACAGACTCTGAATCAATGTAACTTCAGATGCCTCCTCTGTCCATCCTCCTAAAGACCTGACTCCTGCTGTGAGCAGCCCTGGGGAAGCTGCTTTTGCTACTAAGTAACTTTTTTTGCAGGCTCTCCAGACCTTTGTCCAGCATGCACAGGTGGGAACTGAGCACTCATAGTGCCTGCCAAGTCCAGCAGGGTGGGAGGTGAGAAGAGGGACCAGGCTAACAGCTCAAACACCACAGCTGGATCATCCAGAGTTATGCTTCAGGAACTAGCTGGGGCTGGTGGGAGATTCCTGGAGTCAGTTGTGGTGTTGGGACACCTCGCTGGTTGCCTTGCCTTTAAGGAGTCCTAACTTTCTGGTCTCTCTCTCTCTCCAGGGGTATGAAGGGTCATTGATCAAACTAACATCAAAACAGGTAACTCTCTCCTTATTCTATCTCCTCTCCCCTTCCCTAGGCATTAGTTCCATGGCTTCTGGTGTAGCAGGGATTAGGTTCCCAGGATGGGGTTCAGGGAGGATGCCACAGTCCCTGCAGGGTGAACTGCCATCCTCTGGTAACCTGGGCGCTCTCCTCAGTCCCTGCTCACACCTGCATCCAGACCCTGGCCCCTAGCCCATGGTACAGCTTTCCCAAATGTCTTCCCAGCCACCTTGGCTGCAAACCTTGGAGCTGGACCATCAGTGACTCCCCCTAGGGAGTAGAATGCTGAGCCCCACCTGGCCTGTTCCACTTGTCCAGCTGAGCCCAACCTGCCAGCTCTTGTAGGCAGCAAGCATCTTGCTGGCAGACTAGACCAGAGGCCTTTTTGATGACTCAGTGGTGGGGCAGAGGCAGTCTATGGCTGTGAATAGATCCTTTGGGTGAGGATTGCCCAGCCCAGGCAGGGCACAGGCCTGTGAGTATCAGACAAGCTCAGCAGGTGCTGCATTGCCTCTGCCTCAGATGTGGGAGCTGTCACTCCAAGCTGACTGACATGGCCCTACTGTCCCTCTTACTGAGAGCTGTGCTCCTGTGTGAACAAAGCTGGCATGCAGTCCAGTGCAGCCCCCCTCTGACAATGCTGGGGAGGGGTAGCCACAGAACAACCAGTCTCCTGCTGGGTCCCTCCTGGTTGGGAGGCAAGTGCTAGCAGGAAAGCCTAGCAACAGGAGGCAGAGCTGTGATGCTGCCAACTCTGAGCCTCTTCGTGTAAATCCCCATGGGTAACTGGGGCCCTCTTGCCCTAGGTACTGGGAGGTGTCGCACCTCCGTATGCAGAGCTCCCCAGACTCCATAGATGGGGGATGTGGGGGGGATGAATGCTTAATCCAGGACCTGAGCTGTCTGGCTGCATGGAAGTGGTGGTGTCCCCTCCCACCCCTAAGGCTTAAGCACATGCTGGCTCTTGCAGAGGTGGGGCAGTTTTCTGCCCTGTGTCCGTGCAGCTCTCTGAAGATGTGAGATAAAGGGGCTGGGATCTGACACTCTGCTCCTCAACCCTTATGACTTGTCTTCCCTGGCAAAACTCCCCCAAACCCAGACTAGCTCAAACACCAGCTGGAGCTGCAATTCAGACGTTGTTCAGAGCCAGAGCTGAGGGTGACTGGATCTCTGTGCCCTTGAAAGAAAACCCTATGGTGTCAGGTGCTGTGACCAGCCTAATGATCCATCTGTATAGTCCTAACAGGGCAGCCCTGGGCCCAGGCCAGAAGAAGCACCAGGGGCAGGAATTGGAAGCATAGTATGACTCTTGGCCTTTTTCTCTGAATTCTCTGCCCCTAAGTTATGGTTTAGAGCAGCCACACTGGCCTCTTGCTGCTCTCTGAATGCTGCAGGATTCTGGTCTGACTGGTGCTGAGGCTATGGTGCTGGCAGCTTGGGGAGGGAGTAGCAGGGGAGGAGGTGCTCGGACCTAACCTCCTGTTGTCTCCTCCAGCCAGTAGGTTTCGTTACCTTCGATAGCCGATCTGGTGCTGAAGCAGCAAAGAATGCCTTAAACGTACGTACCCATCCATGACTCCAGCTGGGGCCTCATGTGGCTAACCAGCCCCAGTGTTCATTTGGAGATCTGTAACCCCCACCTCTAGCAGCTGATGCTTAGTGCCACTTCTAACCAGGCAGCAAGCTAAATGGATACTTGGCTTATCAGCAGCATGTGAAGGATCCCTGCCTTTCAGCTATACCCTGAAGCGTAGGCTGGCAAGGATCAGTACCTGCACTAGGACTTCAGCCTGTTGTAGAAACTAGCTATAGCCAATGCAATGCACTTCATCTGCTCAGAACTCCTCCACAGCTAGGGAACATTGCATTGGCCTATCTGCTGATTGATACACTAATGAGCTGGGCAAAGCAAATACTGGACAGCTTCCCTCTGTTCACTACCAGCTTTCCATCTCCCTTCCCCATCACACCTTTCTGCTGAAGACTAAAGGCCTTCTGTCCGCTGGCTCTCTAGCTCTGAGGTGAAGGTTCTTCACCACCTGATCACAACAGCCTGCCTCATTCGTAACCATGTGTGTGAAATGAGATACTAGCTGCAAAACCAGCTTGTCAGACTGGAGTGTAGGGTGGGGGCAGCATAACGGGTGAGTTCTGGCTCCCCTTTGTTGTGGGACAGTCAAACAAACAGAGGGTGAGTCTAAGGCTAGGTCTACACTACAGCGGGGGTTCGACCTAAGATACGCCACTTCAGCTACGTGAATAGCGTAGCTGAAGTGGCGTATTTTAGGTCGACTTACCTGGCTGTGAGGACGGCGGCAAGTCGACCGCTGCCGCGCCGCCGTCGACTCCGCTACCGCCTCTTGCCGCGGTGGATTTCCGGAGTCGACGGTAGAGCCATCAGGGATCGATTTTTATCGTGTCTTCACTAGATGCGGTAAGTCGATCCCCGATAGACCAATTGCTACCTGCCGGATCGGCGGGTAGTGAATATGTGCCCTTAGATTCCAAGGCCCAAAGAGATCCCTGTGATCCTCTCATCAGACCTCTGTATAGCACAGGCCAGAGACTTCCCCACAACAATTCCCTTTCAACTAGAAAAACAGCCAATCTCCTCTGGAGAAGCTGCTACAATCCTTGAAGTTGTTCTGATGGTTAATTACCCTCACTAGTTGAAGTGTACACCTTATTTCAGGTCTGACTTCATCTTGCTTCAATATCAAGCCATTGGGTCTCATACCTTTCGGTAGCTAGACTGAAGAGCCTGTTACCAAATTTATTCTAAATGTAGGAGCTTGTAGGCTGAGCTCAGTGGTGCCTTTAATGCCCTAATTTGTGAATGAAGATGTGAGGACTACAGACCCCTGGTTCTCTATTGCTGGGTAGCAGTTAGCTACACCCCTGTGGTAGCCCTGCCAGAGGAGCACTGCCTTGCTGTTAGTGCTGAATGGCTAGGTGCCATCAAGCAGGGAGGGTGACAAGTCAGTTCAGCAGGAAGCTATCATGGATCAAACTTCTGAAGCCCCTGGCTTACAATGGGCCCCATAGATCTGTGTGTGTGTGTGTGTGGGGGGGGGGGGGGGTTGGGTTATGGCTTCATTTCCATCACCATGGCATCTGGGTGTCTGTCAGGGACCAATGCACCTGCTAGCTCAGATACACTGATGGCATTATCCTTGCTGGGATGTGATGAGCGGTGCACACCTGTTGCATAGCATCCTGCCCCTAAGCCATCTAATAAATCTTGCTAAGGTGACAAGCCAGGCTGTTGCATGTTGGGGAGCACATCTTGCCTTCCCCTACTTGAGCTGAGCAGCTGCTGCCCGTGGCTTGCTCAGCCTCATACTCCTGTCTTTAGTGCAAGAAGTTTGCAGCCTTTTCTGCACTAGTGTGTCCCCACCCAGAGTTACCAGGCATCTAGCCTTGCCTATTGCCCACAGGAGCAAATGCCAGTGTGAACAGGGCTCTCCAATCTCCAGTACAGTCTATTTGCCCTGAGCAAAGCTCACCCACTCTCCGAAAGATGTTGCTGTGTGGGGCTTGGTCCTGTGCACATGCTTCCAACACCAGATCAGCTGTACCCGTTGGCAAGATGGAAAAATTCCCCAGTGCTAGAGCCAGCTCTCCTGGGTGAGTCAAGCACTCCATTTCTGGTCTAGTGTCCCCTGGCCTCACCCTGCTATGCTCTGCATAACTGGCTGTCACAGGTTGGGCTCTGGTCCCTGGCCAGGGAGAGGTGATTAGTAACAGCTTATCTGAACCTACCTGGGGAGTGGAATTGGCTTCAGTGCACAACTCTGCTCCCCTCCTGCAGGGTATCCGCTTCGACCCAGAGAACCCCCAGACCTTGCGGTTGGAGTTTGCCAAAGCCAACACCAAGATGGCAAAAAGCAAGCTGATGGCCACACCAAACCCCACCAACATCCACCCTGCCCTGGGTGCACACTTCATCGCACGGGACCCCTGTGAGTAGCCACCAGGGCCACGCTGGGCAAGGAGGGGCTCTGCAGTGGAGCAGGAGCAGGTGCTGCAGCTGCTTCCCTTGTTGCCGTCTAGATGGCCATTAATGCCCATGTTTGGCAGGAGCCTGGCCTCAGATGTGCCAGTGTTACTGCTGCAGGCAACAGTCTAGCTGTTGGGGGGGCACTGACATGGGGGAGAGTTTCACCCACAGCTGCAGCAGGACCTGCCTGTGGGCTCTGCTGGGGGCAGCCTGCTCCATGTACAAGGGCTCACCAGGTGTAGATAGCCGCATGAGTACTCTGAACTATAGAGGCTGCCATGCTGTCAGGGTTAGCCCCTCCTGCTCTCCACAGTAGCTAGATCTCCCCTCTGGGGCAGGAGAGGAGGTGGCATTACTGGCATTAAACCTCTCAGTACATCAAGCCATAACTTTCCTAAGCTTGATCACTGGTGGCTGAGCTGCACCAGGCTCTGGGTGCAAGGAGCAATTCAGGGCATGGAGGCAGAGGAGTGGTTCTCCAGAGGAACTCCAGTTTGGTTAGTTCTCTAATCTTCCCTGAGGGACTTCTCCTGGAAGCAAAGCAGTGCTGAGCCTTGGTCTTGCTGCTGCAGAGTCAGCTCTGTTTCCCCCTTGGCGCACGTCTCAAATACTGACTGATGTTTCTAAATGTCTAGATGACCTGGCTGGAGCAGCTCTTATTCCAGCATCTCCAGAGGCGTGGGCTCCCTACCCACTGTACACCACAGAGCTAACCCCTGCCATCCCCCATGCCGCGTTCACATACCCAGCCGCTGCTGCCGCTGCTGCTGCCCTTCACGCTCAGGTGAGTCATGCCCAGCTGTCCTGCTCCCAAGGGAAGCCCTCCCGCACCTTCTGGAGAACCATTAACTTGGAGCCTTATTTGTTCCTCCTCCTCCTCTCTGTATGTTTGGCATGGTCATTGGCTTCTGCACCTTGACCCACCTACCAAGCAGGGGAGTGCATTCCTGTGCTGCTGCTCTAAGTAAACAGGCTGTGCTGGGGGCCCTGGTGAAAATGCAGGCTACTGAGTAACAGGCAGCCTGAGGTCACCTGCCCCCATGCAGTGAAAGCCCGACACTTCTGACACTGCAGGTTCAGTCTGCTTGGCTGCTGACAGCAGGGTAAGCCTGCCCTTGGGACTTGGCTGGCTGGCAGTGCATTGAGCCAAGCAGAATCCTGCTCAGCAGGGCTGGTGGGAGGAAATGCTGGCAGATCGGTAAGCTGTGCAACCTGCTTATGGAGGGGCAGGTCATGACTCTGTAGCCAAGGCTGCGTTCCATTTGCATGTGGGGCAGGGGTTCCATAGGAGTTAGTTAAATTAGGTACTTGGGAGATTCAGCTTTGTCCTGAATGGTGCTTTTCAAACTTCTCATTGGTAAAACTAATGGGAACTTTTGTGCACAGGCTGTGTGTGAATCAACTCAGTAATAGCTAGGCAGAGTTAATGGTTATGCTATAGACAAGGTCAGGTCAACAGCTCAGATGACAAATCCAAACTCAACTAATTCTTGTCCTTCTATAGCTTGTCTGTATGCAGTGATCCTGTTTCCAGTAATGAGACTGGTCATGTGTCAGGACACTTCACTGGTAGATGACTCTGCCCACCTGTTACTGATCTCTGATGTTCTGTGGCCATGTGCTAGCTTGGGGAGCAGTGTTCAAAAGGCTCCCCATGGCTCTGCATCAGGGCAGCCCTGGAGGGGAACTGAGGCAGAAGCCTTGGCACCCATAGGGAGCCTGGTTCTTGAGCCCCATGTCCTAGCTCCAGTCTGGCAAGAACCAGATTTACAAAGTTGCTGCAGCTGCTTTGATAAAGCTTCACAACTGGAGCTTGCAGGCTGCTTTGGCATGCCCATGAATCTGCCCTTTCAAAGTTAAAATAAGACTTAAGGCTGTTACTACCAGCTTTTTGAATATGGAGCCATTGCATTATTTTTGGGTTCCTTGTTAAAGGTTAGTGTCTGCTGATGTTCTGTTAAAATCCAAGGAATTCCAAGACCACCTACACTAAAATGGAGCGAAGGTTGAGTGAATCCCTAAGGACAAAGTACAAGGATGTTGTAATGGTGCCCAGACCAGTGACTAACCCCCCCACCTGTTGACAGAGTTGCACTGAAAACCCAATCCAAGCATGTTAAGGTTTTGGATGCTTCTGCCTGTAGTGATGCCCTGCAGGGGAGGAGGGATAAGAACCTATTGTATCTTAAACTTTTAACTCTAATCTGGGACCCACAATGTGCTAACTTAAACCTAGCATGCCATCACCATGGGGAGGCAGAGGAAGGCAGGTTCAGTCCTGCCTGGACCATGGAAGAGCAAGAATTGCCCCCTGATCTGCCACAAACAGCCTTGGGTGACCTGAGCAAGTCACCATGGCTCTGCCTCAGGTCCCCATCTGGAAGTAGGGATTAAGAGCCCAGCCCTGTATCCCAGGGTGGGGCCACAGGGCTGTGAGGCCATAGAGGTACCATGGATAGTTAACCTTGTCAGAGCCTCAGCTGTGTATTGCCGTGTCTTAATGTGTCTGGGTTCAGCTGATGTGCAACGAAGGGCCATGGTTAGTCACTCTTGTTGTTGCCATGTAGCTCTGACATCCCTGCTTGAGGCATTGGCACATGTAGGCTTGTGTCCTGTATCCTATCCATCAGGACCCATCAAAGACTGAACTATGGTGAGACCTTTTCTGCCCAGCTGGGCCTCTTTAGCCAATGGTTTGGCATTTTACTACATAGGTGAGGTCCAGCAGGCTAATAAGCTGCATAGGGCTGGACTGAGCAGTGGCCTGCCCTTGTATTGACTGACAATCGCTTGGTTGCTCAAGTCCCTGCACTTCTGTTAAATATCAGAAGTACACATGCCCATCCTAAATGGGCCAGTAGTGACTTGGGATACTGTACTCTAGAATGACTAGGGTTCCTAGATGACTAGTCAGCATACTGCGCCTCTCCATACAGCCCTAGGCTGTTGTGAGATGGTTAGAGGAAAGGTAAAATGTAGTTGCTGCAACTGCTTCAAGAATGGCCTTGAAAGGGAAGTCCAGTTGGAAGCTTACCCAGACCAGGAAGCCTCACCTACCCTTGCCTAGGACTTGAGCCAGAGGGGCACAGGCACCAACTTTCCTTTGTGCTGGGGGGTGCTCAACCCCAGGCCCTGCCCCCACTCCACCCCTTCCCTGAGCATGCCATGTGCTTGCTCCTCTCCCATCTCCCCCCAGCCTCCTGCATGCCACAACAGCTGATTGCAGGTGTGGGGAGAGGAGGTGCTGATGGGGGCTTTTTTCCCATGGGTGCTCCAGCCCCAGAGCACCCACGGAGTCAGCACCTATGCAGAGGGATATTAATGCACTTGCTTTACAAGATCAGCTCTGCCCATCTAGCTCATGAGTCCTCTAAAAGCTTTTCAGTTGGCTACACTTCTACAGGGCTGGTATGTCTAGAATTCCTCTTAGATGCCCTGCAGGAAGCAGTATTAGAGCTAATGCCCACTAGCAGGAGTTCTGCCCTAGGCCGTGCTGCCATGTTGTGCTGGGTGGCTGGGCAGATGGCACTAACTACAATACAGCCCATGCAGCCAGAATGGAGCAGTAATGGGTTAACTTGTTCAAAACTATAGAAGTCTGTACAGCTCATCCACATGCAAGTAGCATTCGCCTGGCCTTTCCCACTCTGGGGGCAGGGAGGGAAGAGGAGTGTCTGGCAAAGGGCTGTAGCTTGATCAGGTCTTTTCATTAAAGTAGTTTTGGGAAGAATATCCTCTCCTGCAGCTGAGTCACTACCAGGTTTCTCCCCAGCTGTGATCTCTAGCTGGCATGTCCTCAGAGGCATTCCCACATAGTGCACAGGTGCCCAATAAAAATGTATGGAGTTAAACATTACTTAGCTGCTGCCAGCTCTGAGCCACCTAATCCATAGGCAGGAGCCCTCTGCTGCTGCAGAGGCCCAGCTGGGTGGGGCTGCAGGGTGGGGTGAGATTAGATTGAGGACTGTAGTTCTTGAATTGTGGATAAAATCTTTGCCAAGTAAGTGGCCTTCAAACTCTGTTCTCAATATGCAACAAAACAGACCACTGGCAGAGTCCTCCATCCACACTGGCTACAGTGGCTAGTAGAGAGGGCACTGTTCTTGCTGTGATGCAGCATACAAGCACATACACAGTTCCACAGGTTCATCACTGCAGCTGCTCCTTCCCAGGAAATCAGGGTGAGCAAAAATGCTGGTCTGCCTGGGTGTTCCCCTGCAGTGTGGGACCTAGTGTCCCTACACTTGGCTTCAGCAGCTTCATAGCCTGTTGGAGACACTCCTGTAATTCTTTGTCTTGGGCCAAGAGACCTAATGTGCACTATGAACCCCTAACAAATTGTTTAAACTACCCCAAGTAAAGCCAGACCTGTGACATGTGGCTCTTGTCCAGGCACATGGCTCATCTGCCCATCCCTGAGGGGTCCCATCCCCTGGTGGTGTGGCAGCCAGAGGGGTGCATACTGTTTGCCTTCTTGGATATAATGCTAGGAGTGACTCACTGTAATAGCTCCAGCCAAGCTTGCTGTATGGGATTGGTGCACATGTACCATCACTTGCCATTGAGCAGGAGACAAGGCTGGTCTAGGGTCTCAAGTAGCTCTGAAGCTTTCAGTAACCTGCTCATTGACTATTACCCGTCTCACTATCGCTACTATCTGGGCATTGCTGTGGCCCTCCCAGAGATGATGCCATAGCCCAATGGGCTGGCACACCTGTGACTGCTTATTGTGTGATGCTGCTGGCTGCAAGCCTCTGCCAGGGGGACTCCCACAGTGGCCAATCACTGACTTAAATGATCCCATCTGCCTTCCCTCCCTCTCTCAAATCCCTCCTTTGATGTCCCTAGTGAACGCCAGCCATGATGCCAGCGCAGGCTAGCCCTGAAGCTCAGAGCTGTCCCTGGAGATGGGACACCCTAGTGATGCCTAATTGCCGCTAGTGGAGTGGCTGTCCTACAGCTTCATTCCTAAGCGTGATGGCCCCCACGTCTGGAAAGACTGGTAAGGTAACCATCTCTTCTCCAGGGTGCACAGCGGGATTTGCAAGCTTCTGCCCATCTCTGTAGCCCATATCTCCTTGGCGATCAGTGCATGGGCCTCACGCTACCCACCCACCAGAGCCTGGGGAATGAGATGCCAGGCATTCTTTCTAACCCACATCTCCAACTTGGCAGCACAATATGGCACCACAGCATGGCACCATCTTACATTGAACTTCTCCCCAACAAGCTAGGATTTACTTAGCCCTGTCAGGGGCTGAGGGGTGAGGCGGGAGGAACCTCCTTGAACCATGGCAGGAAAAACCTGCTACTAGGCATCAAAGGAGTTCATCTCTCCCCAGCCACCCCCTCCAAGGCGATTGGCCACACCCTTGTCTCACTCATGTCACATGGTGTGGGAGGCGAGCGACGTGATGACGGAAGCACACAACTAAATCCTCTACTGTGCACGTTCGAGAACAGCACTTGTCAGGCACTTCCTCCCAGACTCTCCGAAGGGGATAGAGCCAGCCCCACGTCGTCAGGTCTAACCTTCACCTTTCCTCCCCAGTTAGCGCAAACAAAGCCAGCTCCTGCCTGGGGCTCAGCTCCTCTCGGCAGATGGCCGGTGTTGCCGGGAAGGCCGCTCCAGAGAGCTCTAACTAATGTGGTGTGGGGGATCTGGGGCGAGGGGGAGCTGCACAGAGCAGCACAGCAATGCGCTCCGCAGTGCAGGGGGAGAACATCTGCCACCACCGTGATGCTCTGCTCAAGCAGAGGGGTTAAGGGCACCGTGTGGGGACG